AGAGAGAGGCACGAGGGAAGCTAAATTACATCTTGGACATTTGATTTCATTTACTCCGATCTGAGAGACTTTTTCAGTTAGAAATAGAGAGGGTTGTCCTTCTTACGCTCCAGGGCTTGCAGCGGTTTCAAAGAAAGGAGTGTTTGTTATTGTCTGCAGGGGAAATCTGAGAGTGCGTAACACAATGACAAGTCCAGGCTCCTAAATCAAACGCATTTTAAAAGAGTAGCCACCGCTCATCACCTCCCCTCCCCACCTCCCGCCTCTGGTCAGGCTCTTCAGCCACTGATGCTTGTCCCCTGCCCGGCTGGGTCGCACGCAGTGGGTGCCTGCCACTGCCTTCTTCCACACCGGTACGGCACCCAGCAGCTGGGAAGCCCATGGAACATCGCTAAGGTCCCTCCCCGTCACAGAAATACAGGGTTTCTAAAATGGGCAACGGACAGCTGGTGCTGCTGAGGTCTGCAGGTAATACAAGCAGCCACTGCAGAAATGCTGACTAGCGATGCAGATAGCTACTGCTCGCTCTGACACCCTTTGGGCTCTGCAGTCGGTAGTTTCGGTGAAAAGATCTGGGGCTTGTTCCATAACCCGCATAGCTACTGCCAGACAGACACTAAAGCTCATAGCATAGTTTCCTAAATATCTGGATTTTAAAATAAATTGGAAATCCAGATTTCATCCTCAGAAGACTCACAGCCTAGAAACTTCTAGGCCTTATCAGCTACCACCCTTCACCTACACACACCATGCAACAGCACAGCCCCAGGAGAGGGCAGCCGCCCACCTGAGCGCCAGCGCCCCAGTGGCCCCACGGCCCAGCTCCCAGGACTGCAGGGGAAGGCAAACAGTCCATTTTCTTCTTTAAAACATCTCCACAGCAAGGGGCCAATTAGAGCATCCTGGTCTTACTAGCCTTTTAATGGCAAGCATAAATAGGCCCTTATGCATTCAAGCCAGCAGCAAATGAGTGGTGAAGGTCACAGGACGTTCCAATGACTATACAACACACACGCTCCCCGAGATTTCTGGAGAAAGCACTTGAAAGGTTTAGCCACCAGATCTTCTAACTTGCCTAGTCATCCTAACTACTGGTGCAGCTACGCTCCACAGACAGTATTTCAGGTTTGTCTCTTTCAGCACCAAGCTCCCAGCCAGTCATTCCCAAAAATAATACACTTGGCAGCACAGGCATCTGCCCTAGACTTCCAGATCAGTGCAAAGGAAGGGCAGAGCTCCTGTAGGAAAGCAGCGCTTTGAAAGGTCAGCCAGAAGACCACAGGCCAGATTCCAACAGCAGTTACAGCCACACAATTTCTTCAACTTTCACAGCAGAAAAAGGTAGAAATTGGAGAACACAGTTCTCCGCACTAGAAGTGACTCTCCAGGCACTTCCAGGAAGAAAGAAGAGTCAGCAGCTTGAGGTACAGAGTGATGAAACTAATCCTTCTGAACTACACATTCATACTGCAAAGGTGGGCATGGTGGGACCTTGGCACCCCCAAGGCTCCTGCCGCACTCAGCCAGTACAGAGTGTTTACGGGTAAGTTTGCAATATCAATGCCTCTGCTTGCACAGGCGCGTGACCAACTTCTCTCCAACAAGCCTAACGCGTGGTTTAAGCACAGTTTCAGGAGCGCCAGCTGGTGACCGAGGGGCACATTTCCCTTCCTCACTACACCCCTCTGCGGTTCAGGCTGCCCGCCCCAGAGCCATCTACCACGGTAAGCAGTACGCAGGGCCAGAGCACTGCCCTTTGTGCCATCCCCTTCTCACTGGTGGCAACCGCAGGGGCTCAACTTCACAACCAGAACAGGAGGCAGCAGAAGCATTCCTAAAGCTGTTTAAAACATTGATGAATACTAGATTCGTGCCAAGTTTTATCTCCTGCAGCAGCACTCTGGACCCTTCTTTCACCATGATGTGGCATCTGCCTTTTAAGCAAGTCTACATTAATTACTGCAACAAAGTCTAATAAAGCAAGAAAAATAAACACAGTAAGCTCCTTGGATAATCCAGAGCATTTGTTTTTAGTAACCAGGCACTGAATAAGTAAAGTGACCAAGTGAAGCCAACTAGCTGAAGGAGTAAGAAACAACTAAGTGCACTGGCAGGGAAGAAAAGCCACCTATGCGAGAACAGCATAAAGCAGGAGCCAGAGATTAAAGTGAGTACTGTTGGTTCTTCAGTCCCACACAAAAGTAGCAGCACGTGATACTGAGTTACACTGTAAGAGAGCAAGGCAGATGTTTTCCACCGCGGCCAGAGGGGTTATCAACAGAAAGCAGAATATGCATTGTGGTTTGGGGGTTTCTGTCACCGTTTCCCCCTCCCCTCAAAATACATGAGAGTAAAAGGTACAAAAGGAAAAAAGATCACAGAAAACAGGGTGAGACAAGGGAGGAAAGTCAGCCACAAATAATTAGGAGCCACTTTCTGACATGTTTTGCACAGAAAGAGGAAGCACTTCATTAACACAGAAGAAATAGTTACCACACAAAGCTGCAGAAGAATTCAGCCAGGTTATGAGCAAAATGCAGTAACCAAGAATTGAAGATGTGGGTTCACTGCTACTTACAGTATTAGACAATAAAGCTGACACCTTCATTCTGGAATAATCACCTAATTTCCCTCACGGAATAGGAAAATGGACTCTTGCTTTCAGAATCTAATTGTCATGCACGGCCTTACTATGCATACTACCCCGATTTGTTTCCTGCCACCCCCCCAAAAATAGAATCATTTTGCAAAACAAAAAGTCACAAGCAAGTTTCACACAAAATATATATATTTAAAAAAAATCTTTACAATAAGTCAGGAAACATAGGAGCTTGCATACAGTTTATTATAACAACTTAGTTCTCAGCTCCCTACAGTTCAGATAACCCTGGTGACAGTGTTTACAACTTCTATTTTCTGCTTTCATAACTTTAAAGCAAACAATACATTTGAGTGTATTTTACTCTGTGCAAATAAGACAACTTTTGGAATCCTTCAGAAGAAATATCCAAGATTCTGTCTGCAGAGGTCCTTTGTTTCTCAAAGATGATTTATGAGAGTTTTTGTTTTAAGATAAAGTGCTCCTGTCCAGCAGAACTCAAAGGCCTTCAAGAGTTCAGAGAGTAAGTTTAGCTCAGATTAAAAAATAATTGGTCATACAAATTCCAGCTTCCCATGTCCGCTGTACATTCCCCAGTGGACTAGTGAAAGAATTTTATCATTGCTGAGGTCTGAATGTCTCATTTTCTCACAGGTCATGCAACAGTTCTCATGACCAGTCACAGGCACCATGCATTCCAAGTCCAATTTTGCCACCTGCCCTTTTTTCGAATGATGTCCATGAAAACTATAGTGCAAACGAGAAAGCATTTGTTGTCGTTGATCTTGCAGTCTCTTATTTTCACTCCTGAGCATCCGCAAGGCCAGCATGATAAGGAGCACCAAGATTAGCCCACCAGCTATAGGAACAGCTATTACAGCTGCCCTGAACCATAACTCTTTCGAAGAGGTCAATTCCTGCACCTTGGTGATGAGTATCTGCTTCCTTGTCCTGCAAAGGGGAAGATGTGAACATTATTTCAGTATCAACAACTGGTTTATATATAAGCAACTCCCATAAACGCCACACTGACAAGTTTAAGGAGCTACAGCTACGCACTCTGCAGTATCTACAGAAAACACTCCTACAGACAAAAAAAATTAGTTTCTAAGGCTATTTCTAACACTGAAGTTCTTACCCTGATAGCAGATTTAACTAGGAACGCCACTGCCATTGCTTCTTAGAAGCGACGCCAAGTTGGCAAGACAGACCTCTAATATTAATACAGACAAAAAAGCTACTCAGCCAAGATGCTCCCCTGCACCCAGCCACCCACTTCTCCCTCTGTTATCGCCACTTGCACTAACAACTAAATCAATAGCAAGGCATACAAGGTTTTGACTGTCACCAGTCTGATGGCCAGAAGAGAGAATTCACCAACACTTCCTTGCCCTACCTGAACTATCGCCCCTGGAAGGAGACAAAACATCATGTAGTCCTCTGTAATTGCACATATCTTCATGACAGCATTCCAATGTGGACATGGTGGTGGTGCCAGAGTGGTTTTGTGCTTGTTTGGCTTGGCAGATATCAGCTGTGCTTGCGATAGAGTCCAAGCAGCCATGAGTAAGAGGGGAATGTGTATTCTGAGGATCAAGCAGTCTGGAGAAGCAGGCGCTCAGCTCAGATTTGCACATATAGCCAGTTGCAACACAGTGTGCAGCATCACAGTAGCATCTGATTTCACCTGAAAAACAAAAATCGTGCAAGAAAGGTAAGAATCTAGTCCTTTAACAACACCTCACTGGGTATTCTTATTAGCCACAAGCATCACACAACCGAACTCAGTGTCAGTTTTGGGGCACTCCTCTGGACTGTAAATCCATGAGAGCAGGGTTTTTTCCTTCCCATCACTCTACAGTGCCTACCTCATTGTAACCTTAATTCCTGCAAATGCCTTGGGGCATTTGTTTTAATTACTAGTACTACAGCCCTTTGAATTAAAGCAAGAACATTTCACCAAAACAGGGATTGGGGGAGGGCGAGGAAGGTCACAGTGGCTTTTTTCCAAGGTAAATTACTAACAAGACCATTTTATTGCTACTTCCACTTGCTGTCAGCAGTTGCATTAAACCACATTTCAAGTGAAATCCCACTTTTAAAAGCAATACACACCTTCAGCCCTATAAGGAAGTCACATCTATGTTTTAAACCATTACTACAGGAACAGCATTCTATTTTTATAAAGGTAATGCTTCTTTTAACAGGGCATAAGCACACAACAAAAATATTAGGTTTAAATATTTGTGTGACAAATAAAAATCAGAATTGCCGAATTGTTTACTACCTCTCAGTACTGTGCCAAAATTTAAAAGGTTTAACTAACACCTTATAAAGCTATTAGCTAGACCCATTACCATCTAAGTCTCCCAGTCAGGAAGGTTTTTACTGTGTGAAACTGGGCAACTATTTGTAATTTCTCCAGAAAGAGAGAAATTCTTTAGGTAGCCATTCATGCAAAAAGGCTTTTTTCTCAGTATTATAAAACAGAAACGGTGCCGTTTATAATTAATCTGCTCGCCAGAGTCCATGTCTCCCAACTCAAATGTGAATTTATTAAAAAGGGCAAAGTTGTGAGGCTAAAAGCTCCCCCTTGCCCCTCCCCAATTTCACATGCAATCCAACATGTGGTCAAAAGGGGAAACACTTAGACTGAAAATCCTCTACCGGCTCTATGAAAAAATCTCTCAGGAAACCTCAAAAATTTCTGAAGGAAGCGATAAAAAGTTCCCTTCATAAAACTCTTCATTTTGTGCTCTCCAAACTGCTCTGGTACGAATTATATGTACTGTGCTGCAGGGAAAATGTACTCTCTCTAGGCAAGTTGCAACTCAAACGTAATTCAACGTGCTACTCATCCAAGGTTTAGGAGGAAGCCAGATTTTGGAGCCATCCTTAGAACAGTGGACTTAAAACTACAACTAATGTGCCTGATGTACTTGCCGTCATAGTGGCACTAAGGCTTTCAAAGTCAACTGAATTGTCAGGTGTCTTCCTTCTACAGTCTGCACCTCAAAAATCAATGTATAGGCTTCCCTGCTGTCATCTCTTCTGATGATTCCTACCACCCCACACCTAAAAAGTATTCTGAAAGATGTTAAAAATTATCCCAACCAAGTTAGCTTCCCCTCCTCAGCCTTCCTTAATACTTTCCCCAAAATGCCACTGCAGGCTCCAGGCCTTGAAGTTCCTGCTGCTCTTTAATAACTCTGCTTAATAGAAGCCAAATGATGGAGTGTCTCACTGTCTCCAGTTCAACTCCCTCGGGCTTTTAGACCAAGTAACCCAATTTCTCGTGAATTCACACACACTGTCATCCAGCGTGGCATGGAAAAAAGACTCAATCATTTTCTAAGCATTCTATGTGAGGTCTTCCCTCTACACTCTCTGAAAAAAATGATTTTCAGCATTTTCTCACTGCGTGACAAGTTAAAAATACGACGCAAACAAGGAACAGCACCAGAGCTGACAGTCCTTTCAAGAGTCTCTCTGCAGAGCACGGGAAGAAAGTGAAAGAACACACATACTTCAACTGTTTATACAATCATGCTTAAAATCCTACGTTTTATTGACCTAACACAATCCTATAAACAAAATCTGGCAGGCTAGTCATCAGGTTAATTCAACCGCTTTTTAATTAAAGCCACGTTTTCGGTGAAACAGAATGGACTTTGTATTACTGTATTAAAACTGTATTTCTGTCAATTCATAAAGTTTCTTCCTGTGCTATGCAAAAGGCCAGAAAGGGTATTTAGTATTTTGAAACAGTGAACAATGCCCTTCTGTTCCCTCCTCTTTCTTGTTACTGTATGTAGCTATTAAAGAAAAATGTCTGCTTTTAGTCAAGATGGCTACAGGAGAGACTGCAGGCTTCTCTTAAAGCTTTTGAAGTCAGCAGCAGCCAGAAGTCTGTGATCCCCTAATTATATCATTATCAGGCACATAGTTTCAGTATCTGCGACTTCACATCACTCAGTCACTCCCTGTTCTGCCCGCTTTGATGGGGCCAGCGGGCTCCCCCCTGCACGCTGCAAGGGCTGTTATTTAGGGTTAATTACAGCCTTCCTTCCAAAATAAATAAATACCGCCGCCCATCACCCCCGCGCTAACTCAACCCCTCGCCCCGGAGCGGGGCGGTTA